TTTGGCGAAAAAAAATCGTAGGAACTTCTTTTCTTTTTTTTAAATTGAAGAGAAAAGTATACACTTTTTGATACCGTAAGCAGAACTGGCGAAGAAAAATTACTATACTCCGCACAGTGCGTCAAAGTGTGCCATTTTTTTAGAGAAAAACCATGGTCATGATTTTGAGAAAGTTCCGGGAAATGGGAAGAGTGAATGCAAATTCCAATAAGAGCTTCTTAAAGCAGAGGCTTTGCCCTATAAAATGAAAAAAAAACTTTTCAATTCGACCAGTTTTCGCGAAGTTACGCTTATTTGAAATTCGCCAAATTTTGATATAAATTTCTTGTTGCGTTAATTTTTTTGACCAGTGTATGTTTGATATCATTTCCGGCATTGTTGAAGATTTACTGTTTAGAGGCTTTCGAAATTTTAAAGCACTTGTATGCTAACGATGATATATAGAACACGTTTAGTATATGTATACATTTATTGGTACATAGTGGATGTTTGATTTCGTGGGAATGAGATTTTTCACAAGAAAATCTGTTATTATTGCCTCATCAAGAAAATTTACAGTTACAACAATACGAAAACTTACATAATCCATGTCGCAAGGCGGTAAAGACTCGCAAGAGACATTTTGAAACGTGTGGTCATGTAGTATCGGACCAGGTAGAGCCGGCAAAAAATACATTAAAATAAAAGACATAGTCGTCACGGTGAACTGTGTCATAAATATCCTTTTCCTCCATGCGAGAAAATAATCCGCGGCGTAGCCGACTATTAATTTACCGATCAAATTTGCAATAGGCAAAAGCGCGATGATGCTACCCATAATTAATGGCGAAATACCAAGTTGCCTGCCGTAAACTGGTACATGTAGTGTAATAGCACCCATAGCTAAAATAAGAAAAATGATTGTAACTATATTCACGGATATTTGATATCATTTAAATTATGGGAAATATGTGATTTATTTGGTATGTTTTTTGTGATTATCACACAAGTATCTTAAAATTAAGTGACTTAACATAACGCATGTTATGAGATGCCATATATTTAATAATTACTTACTCGCCATAAAGAAAAAATAATGCACTTTCACAGGTAGATGATTATAATTGATCTTCATTATTTATAGTAGATATACACAAAATTATAATATAAACTGAATTTTGTGTTTTATTATTTTGTGGTCTTTCGTGAGGACGTACTTGAGCTAACGTTACACGCTGAACTGCAAGTTAAAACGTAACAATTTTAGATTAGGCATTTTTGTATTGCGCAATAACATTTTAAATTATAGGTATTTTAGTTAAAAACGCGTATTATCGGTATCTCTAATTACTACTTTGGAATCCACTTCTAAAAGAGGCATGTAAGTCGATTAGTCCCATATCTTGAAGTATCCCGGGTAGCACGTTAAAAAGGGGCCTGTGAAGGCCGTAGACAGTTTTTCCCCATTTATGTCTAGGCCCCATTCAGGTACTCCCGAGTAGGCCCTGCTCA